GTAGCTGCCGTTTCATTTCATTCATCCGTTTCATTCAACGATCTGCTTTCGCCCTTCTCATTCTCCGTCGCCGCCATGTGCGTATGAAAACACTGCACATGCGTGTTTTACCCATATTCTATCGCCATATTTCATTTTCTTATCGTTGCCCAACATTATACCAGTATCACCGTGAACGGTTTGATATGGCCCAGCCCCAGCATGCACACTATAGAAGACCTGGACTGATCAGTGGAACCGTTCTGATGGGAAATCTGATAAATCTAGATTTGGTTCAGGGAGGAGGTCGGGACAGAGGTCCTTCTGTGCAACAAGGTGGAGGCTCCATCGTGGTTGGAGCAGATTTCAGCTGGTGGGATCAGCCTGACGGAGAAGAGCTCCGAACGATACGTAAAGAAAGCAGAGCTCACGCTGTGCTGAAGGGTGAAGGAGGTCACACCAAAGATTCACTCAGGAGCCCGTTAAACTCTGTTTTTGCCTTAAAAGCTGTATTTTCACGTTTGCACACAATTCAATAAATCGCTGCGCCCGCTTCACAGCAAACTATAAAGATCATCGTCTCCGTGGCTGTGTCCTGGGTTTACACAGGATCAGAAACCTTCCTGGTTACACATAATTCACAATACCTCAAAAACAGAAAGATTGTTGGAGGTTCAGTCGAACCCGAGCAGGCACGGAGGGAGAAGCATGAAAGAAATCCTGAACATCACACATCTTAAGCTGGATTTAAACCCTTTGCTCCCTCCCGGCCAAAACGTGAGCAAACGGGAAAAACTCCAGGTGATCTTCTGTCCAATGAGCAGCGAGCTGCTGCTTTCAGAAAGTCTCTACCTGCTTCAAGCTGCTGCACGAGTTCAAGGAGTTCAAAGGAGCGTTCATGAGCTGTGTGTTTGCATGAATGAGTCACTGGCAGAATTGCACAATGAAAAGTGTTGATATAATAAAGTGCAGATAAATCTGCCCACAGAGCTGCCAGCTGAGCACGCTCAGGTAGATCCAGGTGAAGGTGCAGAAGGAAAATCTCCTCCTGGGACAAGTAAAGGTTAAATCCTCCAGGTGCTCGGCTCGGGAATCGCCCCTTTTCTTCCATCCGTCACGGCTGTCGGACCGCCTCATTCCGGTTTCCCTATAATCTGGCCCTGCCGGCTAGGAATTTCAGGAATGCTGGCGGTGTAAGGGAAATGTGCTCCACATTCAAACAGATTATGGCTGCAGAGTCGTGCTCCGTGCAACACTCGAGTAATGCCTGTCGAAAACGAATTCTAGTGTGGATCCTGCGCCGGTCACAAGGAAGTGGACCACACAGTGACACGGCGGGAGCTGACCGCAGAGCAGAGCTCCGCCGGAGGACTCGACTGAGAAACAGGACCTGCAGTGAATCTGAGGCTTTACCTTCCTCCCACCGCGAAGTCAGAGATGGCGTAGTAGTAGGACTTGAGGACCTTGGGGTCATTGAAGACCTCGTCTCCGAATGTGTTGAGCCGGTTCAGGGTCACTCTGATGTCGGTGGCCGTCACCCAGTCCTGCAACAGACACAACATGGATGCTGCGTTAGACACACGAGGGCAAACAGAGGAGCATCACCTGCCAACGGAGCATGCTCATACACCTGACCATGCTCTGATGTCCTGATTGGCTTAAAGCCTCTTCACACTTAGACTACCGTCAACATTCAGCTGCTGCACGACAGCCAAAAATCCCCATCGGGTCCATGTCAGCCAGTCATACTGCAAAAACAATATTTCTTCCATAACTATTAATCAGCTGATCAAACTCATAACAAATCTGATTGAGACGCTGCCCGTTTATCCTACTGGACAGACGTAAATGTGATCGGACGGCAGCGCGTCTCTGGACCCCAGCTGAGTTTTTAGAAATAATTTATGTCTTTATGATCCAACTACTAAAGAAATGTTTAAAACTATTTGGTTTTTCTCCCGTTTATCCAAACAGCTGGAACGATGTCACTGCTGGATGAGCCTCAGCATGTTTGTGCCGATTCTGCCCCAAGAGTGATTTAAGATCACACTGAAGAGAGCATGACTACCTCACCCAGTAATCTGATTACTTCAATTAAACTCAAAGCAAACGCAGGCGTGTGAAACATTCTGGTTTTTGTACTCTGCAAACAGAGAAGTGGTTTCAGTTCCAGCTGTGGGAAAAACAGTGACGCAGACACCAGCAGGCTCTCACACTGTGACATTTCCACAGAAATGAATTTATTTTCTTGGCCTTACGATACAAGATCCAGATGGAGGGAATTACTCAGGACACCTGTTGTGTTTCAGAGGAAAAAGAAAGTTACTCAACATCCCGCCTCGTGGGAAAGCCAGCGATAGCTCCCTTCAGCGGTAGGCTCGTCAGGCCCGAAGCTTCGGAGAAGCTGAAGACGAAGCGGCGGCTCGAGGGGAAAGTGGAGCTGAATATAAGCGAGCTGGCCCGCTGTCAGACCTGCTCCATGTTTGTCCGCCCACTCAGGAAAACTGTGACTTCGCGCATGCTTGTTAAATCCTCGGACAAGTGCTGGGAATGTGGAACAGCCTGCAACTCACAGGCTCGGAAACAGGAAGTTTACCTGTCCTGAGGTAATCCTGTGAAGACCCTCACAGGAAACAAGCAGAGCATAAAGCCTTGAAAGCACCGAGCTCGACGGTTAAATGTTGATGTAACCGTGTCACACATGTAGCCTGGTAACACAGCCGACCGGCACTGAAACAACTTCCTGGGTTCATTCCCAACATGAGCAACACAAATAGTCTGCTCTGAACACGACAGCCGGTTCCTGAAACATGAAGCTGTGCTTTCTTGTTATAGAGGCTACTCCATGACCAGGAGCTCCACAGACTCAGCGTGCCGGCCTCCACCACTCTTGGTTTTTAGAGCCAGATTTCTCCTTCACTGGCTGCCTGTTAAATCCAGAAATCCTGCTCCTCATCTACAAGGTCTTAAATAATCAGGCCGCTCTTCTGTGGACCAGGTGACCCTGAATCCTCCCTTAGTTATGCTGCAATAGACGTAGGCTGCTGGAGGATTCCCATGATGCACTGGGTGTTTCTTCTTCACTCACTATGTGTTAACAGACCTCTCTGCACTGAATCATATCTGTTATTAACCTCTGTCTCTCTTCCACAGCAGGTCTTTATCCTGTCTTCCTTCTCTAACCCCAACCAATCACAGCAGATGGCCCCGCCCCTCCCTGAGCCTGGTTCTGCTGGAGGTTTCTTCCTGTTAAAGGGGAGTTTTTCCTTCCCACTGTCACCAAAGTGCTGCTCACAGGGGGTCATATGATTCATATCATATCATTTTCTCTGTATGTGTTATTGCAGGGTCGACCTTATAATATAAAGCACATTGAGGACGGTTGTTGTGATTTTGCGCTGTATAAATAAAATTGAATAGAGGCCACGCCCCTAATAATGCAAACTAATCTAGGCGAGTTATAAAGGAATGCTGGAGCCTCCAGTGGACGTTACAGGAACTGCAGGTTTCTCACTTCCATGATGGCGTCCTGAGACCAAAGGCTGCTCTTTGAGGAAATGCTGGCCAATGAAGTCACAGCTATACTGTGTTTCCTCTTTTCAAACCCTCCACATGTGCATTACTAAGTTGGTCCCACAGTCCACCTTTATCCAGACACAAAACTTCTAAGATGCTCAGAGAAAGACGGCATTTATGCAGAATTAGCTGCCACGTAACTCTGTTACACTCTGATGTGATCGGTGGAGCGATATCAGCCGATTAGGAAGCTGTAAACTCATTTAAACGCTGATAAAACAACCAGTTCATTTTTTTATTGGTAATATTTTCAGTGTAACCTTTGACTATGTTTCAGTTCAGGCAGTCTGCCCCATCACATGACCCATCCCAGTTTGGAAAAGCGATCAGCCGAAGCCTTCTGGAAAAGCATTTTCACGGCTCGTTATTTCCTCCCTTGCTTCCTTCGAGCCTCGTACTTCCTCTCCGTGTAAATGAACAGATTTAGCTCTGCAGCTCAGCTCTAAACTTCCTTATTTGTCTCGCTGGCATCGAGCTATTTATACCAAAGCCAGGATCTTTTTGGAGGCGGCGGCCCGTCGGAGGCGTCAGACGGCTGTTTGTCGCTCTGTGACATTCCTGCTATCTGTCATCTCTGAGCGGGAAATAACCAGCAGCTGAGAGCGTCCACCTCAACGGGCGGACGATCAACCATCACGGCGTTAAATACAGCTGAGAATATGGCACAAGTGTTTACAGGCCCGACTTTTCACCTCTAACTGTTTCTGAGGGTCCCGCAGAGAAATCCAACATCCCTGATTCACCCCTGCTGCACCATCCTGGACTGTGGACTGTGGCCTTAGACATCCACGGGATCTTTATTACATTTAGATCGATCATTTTATTCTTTCCTGTCAGACTCACGTCTGCAGCTGCCGAACTATAAACCATCTGCTGACCAACGACACCACATTTACTCCACTTTGTGCTTCCACGACAAGAATCAGCTAACTTTCATGTAACGGTCGCGACATTTAAGGCTAACATGTTAATGTGGCTGATGGAGATGTCACGCTCCGGGTTTCTTTTCCTACGGTGGCCCCGAGGCGGGAAACTCCTTCAAAAAACAGAAAACACAACATTTTGGAAAAGATAACAAAGAAAAGAAAAACGCTCCAACATTCCCGGGAACACGGCAGACACTCCAGAAACGAGACATGGCAGATGCAGGAAAAGGGTAGGAACAGTTTTTTATTTTTGAAATGAAGTGAACCAGACTTCCTGTTAGCTTGCTGATGTCATTTCCTGTCTGAGCTGTGTCCTTTGTTTCAAACAGACTGAGCTCAAAGGGTCTGAGCGCTCTGCTCGTTTACGGCATCGTGTTGGAATCGACGTCTTTGGGTTTTTAACTGATGTTTGGCTGAAACGAGCCAGCAGAGGGCGCCACCTCCAGTTACAGGCGCAGTGACAGTCTGTTTCCACGCTTTTAGGTGTGCGCTACAACCGGAGGTACAACCGTTAATGTTGCGTAACGTGGCCCCAGCAGGCTCACTGTTCCTGAGTTACACATTCAGGAAACACTCGGGGAGATACAGGTACGTCTGCAGCTGACGTCGGTCGGCTAACGGAGACGAGTCGGATCTTTCGTCCCGGACGCTCACAGCGCATCTGGACAAAATCCCAGCAGCACTTTCAGGACATCTCTGGGAATTTCCCCCTCTTGGGCTCGAGGAAGAACGGATTAAGATTTCAATCCGTGGAGCAGTTTTAATGTGGAAGACTTGACACGCTGCAGACTAAACAGCTGAAGCTGGACGTTTATTCCACCTCTAAAATAATCACTGGCTGCGTCTCTGCTCGCTCTCGTTCGCCTCCTGACAGGCTGTTTGTTTCCAGGCTGAATGTTTGTGATTCCCGGAGGACTTCCTAAAACCAAGCAGCATTCTTCCTTCAAGAAAACACATCCCGGGCGAGGCCTCCACACTGGCACGGAGCTGCAGTTGATTGATGGCAAACAAATGTTCGCTACAGTTTAGACAGCGGCGATTTGGAGACGAGGCTGCCCTGGCTTCCTGGATGGGACAGCGTGAGGATCTGCAGCTGCTGGGCGGGCCGGATGCGTTTATGCCGCATGAATGTCGGAGATGGGAGAAGAACCGGCCTTTAAAACGGTCAGCAGATAACCGGACCAGCTGCACTTTTTAACAAGCCTTCATCTGAGCCAATCGACACCTGAACCTCCGTCGGGGTTTAGTTATCTGAGGTTAAGGCGGAGAGCACAACAGCAGATTTGTATTTTGAGTTCCTCGGATCATATACTTCCTGAGTTAATCACCAGCACACAGGTCACGTCAGGTCATGGCTGGTGGTTTATCATCAGCTGACTCTTCTCAACGTTTAGTCTTTGTTTTAATATCGTCTTCAAAATCAAGCCAAACTTACATAAATCAAATGTTCTAAAATAAGAAAAGACTGAAAAATAACACAAAAGAGTTTCAGAGTTCGTGGGCTTCGGCTTTTCAAGGACCGACCTTACTGAAAACTGACGACGGTTCAGAAACAACGAGCTGCGTCAGATCCTGACTGAAACTATGGTCCGTCCTTAAAAAGGATCTCCATGCATGAAGATCTGATCTCCAGCTTGTCCCGGAGACCTGCAGCAGCTATGAGGAACACCGTCTGCAGGAAGTGCACGAATAAATTCATCTGATAAAAACCGAACCAGCAAAGTAGACGAAACACTGATGGACGGGCAGCTCCGTCCATCCATCAGGACCTTCTGTCACTCGCTGTTTTCAGAATAAATACTTACGCACAGCCTCCTTTCAGGACCGTCCTGATTAAAACACATCAGCTCTAAATGAATAATGTGAGTCACTGATGCCACAAACTCTCCCGCAGAGTCTGACAGAGGAACATTCATCATGAGAGTCTCTCCCACTGCATCATTCGTGTTTCTTCACCTCCAGTGTGATGACTGTGGGAAACTCCGTGTTCCTCTTGTTACTGATAAAACCTATAAACTGTATTTAGTGCACAGTGTGTGTGTGTGT